TACAATTTTTTGTTTATAGCGTAGTTTATACGGATTATTTAAAAAAAAAATATATGTATTTTGGAAATGTTGAGTCGGATTAGTCTAGAATCGATTAATTTTATGGAAGAAAACCTTTCAAACAGCCGTAGTCCGTAAACTTGACATGTGTCGGGCTGTGATTGGAAGGACTCTTAAGAAATCGGATTCCTAAAGAATGGAACGTATCTACTGTCTTATAGGGGGGTTGACTGTAGTAGTAAACAATTTATAAGATTAAAATTATACTAATTATTAAATTTTCCATACATTTAAGGAAACTATATTTTACTAGAATACAGTGGTACCTTGGGATACGAACGCCCCATTATACGAAATTTTCAGGATACAACATGAAATTCAAACATATTTTTGCTCCACGATACGAACAAAAATTCACCATACGACGTTACATTAGTTCGCAACGCCATTTTTTATTCACTTCTGTTCATCGGTCTCAGTCTGAGTGTTTGCTTTGTCGTGGATCTCGCTCGATAAAGGAAATCTCGAGATATTATTTTATTGAAAAGAAACATCCCGAAAAGGTTCACACTGGCCATATTGCTGCTCAGAGTAATGACATTTGCCTAAGTCATTTTAGAAACATTTTAAAAAGTAAATAAATAATAAAACAATGGGATCGGTTATTCTAAATATTAAAATAATAATTTTTATATTTTAAAAAGTAGGCAAAGCCAAACCTCTTTGGATAGATATATTACCAAGCAACGTCTATCCAGTGAAAGTGCTGGTGGAAGTGAAGGAAAGAAAGCAAAAAGCAGTGAATAAAAATTTTAAAAATATATATATATAAAACAACAATAATTTTTTAATCTTTTCTAAGTTATCATTACATTATGTTATGTAAGTTAAGTTTTAGTATCATTTCCCTTCTCCCTCTCTTCCTCCACCAGTTTACACTTCCACCGTCGTCTATCCAAAGGTAAAGTTAATTAATTCCAAAGGTAAAGTGCAAGTAAACTATATTTTTTTTAATCAATTATTATTCTATTATGGTTATTTATACATTTACAACTACAAAACTCATTTTTCAGTGTTTTCCTTACTATAGTTGTTATTATTTTTTTAATGTACTACTTAGCTTTAATTTGAGTGTTTTTTTCGTGTTGGAACGAATTATTTGGTATTACATGTAATCGTATGGGAAAAAATGATTCACCTTACGACATTTTCATGATACGATCTCAGTTTCGGAACGGATTAATTTCGTATCCTGAGGTACCACTGTATATAATAAATAACATTTTACCACCAAGATTTGGTAATTATTGAAGAAAATCATGACAAGATTTTATGAAATATTATTGATAATTATAAATGGCACAAAAGAATTTAAACTGTTAGCATGATTTAATTATTAAGCAAGCTTTACGTTTGGTACAAACCAACATAAATTGCTGTACATTTAGAATTAACATTAATTTATAATCAGGGTGTCCAACAACTTTCAATTTCCTTGAGATTTCCAGGTTTCCCAGGATGAAAACCTGCAGTTTTTTGTGACTGAGTTATTTTCAGTGTAGAAATTAAAAACAGTTGTAAGGTTGTTCAATTCCCTTTATTGAGCTGCAATTTGAAAAAAACTGTAGACCTGTAAATCCCTACTGTTTTCTGGTGTCTGGCTTTTCTCCATCCTTCTTTAATCTCAAGAACAGAATTAGATAGATGAAAGCTAAGACCAGATATGGAAAGTTTAGGGGCAGGAGGCCCGATTAACTATATATGAAGTTTCGATGTAAACTGGAAGTCACATCATTTCAATTCAAAAATTTTTCTCTGAAAGGAGTTAGATAGATAGATGACTAGCACAACTCTATTGCTAGCGGGAAAGTTTGGTGTTTAGGGGTAAGACACTACTAATTTGAGGTGGAGAGCATATATTCTAAATTAAACTATTCAGTAAAACTGCATTTGTCACAAACTACAAAAATAACCATTCATACCTTTAAATGTAGTGCAAATTTTAATTTTTCTAATGTTTTTGTTGTATGCAAGAATTAGTCCTAAAACTTAATTCAAAAAATTACAAATAATTGTAATTTAAATGGTACTAGTTCTATCATCATTTTCCAATTTTCATTTTAATTATAAAATTTTAAAAAAATTTTTTTCCAGTTCAATAAACAATTTAATAAATTTGTACTTTTTAATATGTTTTATTTTTCATTAATAAATCCATTACAAAAGAAAATTTATTAATTATCTTAATAATTTTAATAATTCTGCAATTCTAGAAAATTTGTTTGCAAATCGATCTTTGAAAAATTCAAAATGATAATTCATTAGTAATTTTTAGTTGAATGTTTTTTCTAAACATTAAAATATGATTAGTAAATATTTTTCCTATAATTTAAAATCATTTTGCACATTTATGATTTTTGCATTATACATGCAATTTTTAAATGGGTACCTCTACAGGTACAGACAACCAAATATCACTACTTAGGCCTTGTAAATCAAATAACTTTGGAATTTTCAAAGTGTAATGGCCAGAGAAAAGTTATCCATGGTGAAATTTTAAGTTCTCAAACATTAATTAATGATGTAAGCTAACATGCGGCATTTTGACAGAATGCTTACATCAATTGAGTAGTATTTTATCAGTTGGTCTAAAAGTATAGCAGTCTCAAAAAGCATGAAAAAGATGCTCCTTATAATTGAGAATATATAGTAGTATCTAAGCAAAAAGTTCTGAAAATTTAGTAGCCTTCTAGTGGAGAAAAAATATAAAATATCAATGAGAAGGTGACGCATACAAAAATGGTGATTGCAACTTGATTTTTTCAATAATTAATGGTTATTTTGGAAGTAAGGTGTATTTCTGAAATTATTGTACAAAATCCCATTATTGTACATCGTCAGGCACCTGAAATAATTGTACAAATATGATAATTATCAGCAGTAGAGTTACAGATAGTAACTCTGCTGCTATCTAAGGTTGACAATGCTTTTCATTGATTTTTCCGAAAGTCAGCACTTATGAATACCGTGTTTCCCCAAAAATAAGACATCCGCAGAAAATAAGACCTAGCACAGGTTTTGCTGAATTGCGAAATATAAGACCTCCCCCTGAAAGTAAGACCTAGCGAAGTTTTTTTAGTCGTAACAGTCATGGACAGATGGTTGAAAATGGCTGTTGACTTTTTAAAAGTACAGCCACTGATTGGTCAACAGACAATTACACCACACGGCATGATTTGCATAAGACTATGGCTTGAGAATCACAGATTTGCATAACGTTATGGCTGGTGATAGCTAATTGGTCGGCCGGGAATCACGCCACATGACATTTGCATAGTGCTACGGTTCAGTAAGCACTAATTGGTCATCGAGTCC